ATAACAAATGTTCTGATTCGATCTATTTGTAATAAGCTAATAAAAGTTTAACTACTTCATTACAAAAAATAGTACAAAAAAGGCGAGAATTTCTTCTCCCAAACGCCACGCGATAAAATGGTAAAACTGACAAAAAAGTTCCCAAATCAAGGAGAGATGGCATGTTTTACTAAAAATAATTTGTGTCCGAGTTACCAGCAATAGTCTGTGGTATGTAATGTAATAAACTCAGTTTTTTTGCTATGGCTTAACTTCAAGCCCTTGATCCATACCATTAGAAAATAATTTCCTCTGAACTTTCGTCACGTCACAAACTCACGACCCTATTCAGCTTGTATTTACTCTGTTTAAGGCTTCTGTACATTGACTTACAATTATATGGACGTCGGGTCCGCGCTAAAAAGTGTCCGCACTTGTAAGGCGCTAAAATCGTATACAGAGCGCGACACTCCGCTTTAGTCTTCATTTGTTCTACGGACAGCGCGATACTGCGATGATATAACAATTTAAATTTCGAATAGGTTGACTTGGGACATTTTTTTCGTGGTTTTTGTATTAGACCCGTCGTCCATTTATTTGTAAGTCAATGCTTCTGTAGCTTATTTTGATATGATAGTACATCGAATATATTTTATTCAATTACGTAACACATAACCTCAAAAACTTCAAACTGGAATATCTTTAATTCCTGACTTCTCAGAATAGTAAACCCAAAACAAAATTGGTTCAGGAATTTCAACTCTATAATTTCAAATATTTTTCATAAACAGACGTATACAAATTATGTCAACACAAATTTGTATGGGAGTTTGCTATTGTCCTTTGTGTTGAAAAGTAAACTCTATTATAATAATAGTTTGGTAACTATCTCAAGGGCTTAATAAAAATTGTGTACTCTTAATATCAGTTACATTTGTACGCTAATCTTTCAACTAACCAAAATTGTAATTTATCAATCAAATTTTATTTATTTTTTATTTATTTCTTAATTAAACATAAAGATAAAATTATTTTGTATTAACATTTAACCTAAATACATGAATCTTATTAAATAACCTTTTATTTACGTATACATATGTGACAGTCTATCGCAAACAGTGAAATTATTATATGTTTACATAACTTTAATGAAGGATCGCAGTGATGCCTAAACTAAGTAAAATTGTTTACTTGTGTCTTAGGTATAATCGGCAGGGAGCAGAGCTGTTTTATCGACATGGACACATTAAAACCACGAATTTGTTGCCGAGACAAATTTTCTCTATATATCTATATAGATAAGATTCTTCACTCGTTTTTCTAGGTGTCTGCGGTGAGGTAAACTAGAGAATTATTGAGACGAATCGGAAGCAATTCGTCTTGCCCCGAAGTTTCGCTAAGAGGATTGGTCGCCCGGACGTACTCTACAGTGTTAATAACTCATGTATGGTAAAGTAGTACTTACAAGGGTGTGTAGCCCCTGTGAGTTTTAATAACGAACGAACAGGAATACTATATAGTGGCTTTACATACTATATACATAGGGCGCACTGTAAGTTTCCGGAACTGGCCACTAACATAAACAATGTTTAAAAAATAATTACAACATTTGAAAATTGAACTCTTTGGCTGTAGAATGCTGTTTGTTTCACCTGACTGTCACTTGTTTTTACAATGTGGCGTCATTTTAGAAATTACTTGTCTACATCACCGTGGATTTAGCTCGTGAAAATGTTCATAGTATGATTTTCTAAGACGTTAAGTGTAATTTAACAGCTCAGCGAAGCTTCGCTCGGCTTCAAACTGCTTTTGGCGATGAAGCACCATGCAAGACGAATGTTTATAGCTGGTTTGCAGAATTTCGTGATGTCCGTCCACTGTTGTGAACAGCAAAGACATCAATGCTGTGCGCCATATGATCAAAACAGACAGGCATGTGACATACCACGAGATTCGGGCATCTTTAGGCATAGGCATGAGTCAAATAAAACAAACAAATGCCAAGCTTACCAGATTCCACGAAGGGGCGTGAAGTTTGGTGTGGGACATAGTAACAGGTGACGAAACATGGATTTATAGTTACGATGATGATGATTTACTATTACGTATGAACCCAACATAATGATTTGCAACAAGCACATAGAAGTTCGTAAGGTCTGTTAACTCGACTACTCAGTTGGTAAGAGTGGTAGCCCGACGTTGATTTGAGCGAAGTCGAAGGAATTGTTCTTTATATTTGTTCGATCTTTGTATCAATAATAATAACAATTTAGTGGAGTATTTTCACAAAAAACGTATGATTTTCATAATAGTTAAAATATCACTTTAACTGCCTCTGTGACCGAACGGTTACCATGCCGGACTGCCACGCAAAGGTCCAAGGTTCGATTCCTGGGCCGGGAGAAATATTTGTATAGCCTACATTTATTTCTCTTGTGAGTTTGGGTGTAATTTGTGGCTGTCTAAGTGTGTGTCCACGGCACCCGTAACACAGGGTTTTCCTAGTACGGAGCTATGTTGAGTGTGTGCATGCTATTGAATCAAATAATTATTATAGTCCATTTCACATAGGACGGGTACTGTGACATTTCAAATTTTTACGTTGCATGCATAATATTTTTAATTAATCAGGTTACAAAAAGAAATAGTAAAGAAGACTGCATGGACAGAGTGCATGGACTTTGCCTGTATAATTTTGCGTTTTATTTTATGCCTAGTTATCAATATATTTTTGTATATTTTTAGAAGTTGGGAATAAAAAAAAATGTAAAATATTGTATTTTAGAATAGATGCAGGAATAAAACGCAACTGATTCAGTTCGATCATAGATTTGGCAGCGTTTTTGTATGCACGTTTCATTTTAAGCATGATTGAATGTTTACCTACCTGAAGTATTGGTTATTTTATAGTACACACATAAAACATTAAAGCTATGAAATACGTAATGAAATAATGATCTATAGTAATGACATAAAGCAAAGAATAAAATACATTGTGACAAAAACATTTAGACATTATTATTAAGTTGCAAAGGAACGTTTTGACAAGAGACCTCTTGCCAATATCAATGTCACATTGATATTGAGAACAGTGTGACCATTTGTGGCAGTTTTCTGCTATTTGGGCACATTTAATTTTTATTCATTTTCATAGCTGCAGAACATGATAAGTCATATCAAATGTGGCACAGTTTGGCAAATTTGGGAATATTAGGAAAGTTCTTTATTATTTTTGGGAACAAACTGAAAACTTGTTCTTAGGTTTTCGCGATTGTTACACATAGGAAATGAAACTATTTTTCCGGATTTATATCGCGTATATATGTTGGGTCATGTTCACGGTTGAGTCAACCGTGACCTGTAAAGGGCCCGAAACGTCGGTTTGTTTGAAAAAACAAATATACGCGATTTAAATCCGGAAAAATAGTTTCATTTCCTATGAAAACTTGTTGTTTTTTTGCTACTACGAACAAAGAGCTGAAGCGAAATACAGGACAATGTTATAAACGTAACCTATATCCACTTTATAACTCCGGCTTCTACAGGCTGTACTCAATTAGCTTTTTTGATGCTTTGATAATGAATCACAAGTATAGGTCTCCTTAATGCACATCGTCAAAAACGCTGGGTCACAAAATGCACGGGATGTCGCCACCCTTCTTTGTTATATTAAATCAAAATCAAACAATATTTGTTTCAATAGTAATTTTAAATAAAAATTACACTACATAAAAAAAAAGAAATTGAAACGATAAATTTGAAAATAAACTACCCTAACTACTTGATGCGTATCTGATTCACCTTGTATGCTTGACGGTTTCCGTTGTTTTGAGCTTTGTGTGACGTTTTTGGGGTAATTGTACAGATTTCGTTTCGTTGCTGTTGGTTTTATGCTTTTTCGTTGACTTTTTTTTGGTTATTGTTGATTTTTTAATTTGTTGTGTAGTCTTTTTAACTGACTTCAAAAAAGGAGGAGGTTTTCGATTCGACTGTATGTTTTTTTGTATGTATGTTACGCGATAACTCCGGTATTTGTGCACCGATTTTCATGATACTTTTTTGTTGGAAAGAGGGTACCTCCATAGTGGCCTCATTTAATTTTGAAGAAAATTATATACCTCTAAGTGTGGCTGTTCACGCATGAAGATTCATTTTTATATATATTTTATATAATAGCGCCTAAATTTTATTACAAGGAGCAATTATTTTAATAGTTGAGTTTGCTATTCTCTTATTCAAGGCGTTTTTCTCTCAATATACTTTGAGTAGTGAGAACCAATTATTATTATTTCCTGTGTCAAGTTCCGTATAGTGGCGAACTAGGGGATGAATCCGGGTTTACGCACTTTCCGGTAACCGATGTCAAAAAAACTTGGCAAATAGATGTAATTGGGCGTACTTTTGAGGTCGGCTTTTTTAGTACTCTGTACTGAGATTATAGTAATTTAATAACATAATAATTGTATACTTAATATTTTGTTTATTAATTGTTCTTAAACTATAGTCTCTAAGTCGATTCTCTCTTCGTTTTAGTTCGTTAAAGATATTTAAATCGATTTTTTTCCATTCGATTATACATCACTACATTTCTCGAAACTTCAAATCTCAAAGGTCACCGTACCCATGCCATGTGAAACGAACTATAATAACTACTTTATTAATATTTAATTTTTCTAAGTTTTCATAAAAAAAGGGCTGAAATAGTTAATACTGGTTTCTAGGGCCAGTTGAAAAATGTTGAAGTTCAATTACGATAACAAAAAATGTTCTATTTCATATTTTTCGTACCTATTCCTCTATTCAGGTTATAATTTTCATAGCTAACTTGACTGTGATACGTGATAACTATCGCCCTAATAACAAACTATCATAAATTTGAAAGTCACAATTAGTTACAATTGATTACCGATAAAAGTTTTGCGATACAACTAAAACTAGTTGTATTATTACGAACATTGACCTACGTCAATGGTTACGAAGTTAAATTTAAAGTATTAGTTAATCACTTCAGTTTTACTTACCAAATATTTAGCAGATAGTTCGAAGAAACCATAGAGAACTATAGCATAGTGAACCACCAAATATGTATTGCACCAAGCGGGAAGACGAACGTCGTAGATTTCCCGAGTTTGGTCCACCTGGAGCAAAAAGAAATAGATGTCATTTTGGTGAATCGAATGCCGTTTTGAGAACATATTGGTTTTGATTTTTTGAGTGCATTTTTTTTTATAATATCAAGTGATGGGACGAACAAATCGTGCGCCTGATGATAAGTTACATGCCTATCCATAACAGTTGCACTGCCACTCATACATTTAAATCGCAAAGATCTGAGGGGTACTGCCACTGGGCCCGTCATTTTGAGACATAAGTCGACAATGACATGTGCCTGTAATTTCACCAGCACCCTTACCTTTCAAAACCGGAACACAGTAATGCTGACATTACTGTTTGGCGGCAGAAATAAGTAAGGTGGCAGTACTTACCTGGACGAACTCTTTCACAAGGAGCTCTACTGCTACTAAATTTTATTAACTCCTCATCATAATATCAGGCCCCAAGTCCGTTAATTTTAAGTCATCTCAGTTGTGTGTCGATAGTGTCAATGGCTGGATTTTGTATGTTTGGTATTCTGCTAAAAGTTAAGAGTCTACCTCAACTCGGATTCAAAAATTTTCCCGTGCTAATTACGGTTCATTTCGCTAGGGTCGAGCGGTAGGGACACTGGCTATATTTCAGAATTATTTTTTTTTCAAAGAAATTAAAGTCATTTGAAAAATGCATATCGTATAGTTTACGTGTACCATTTAGTTCAGTTAAAATAAAAAAAAATGGTGTATGTACAGTAACTATTGAATATAGCGGTTTTCTTGTAAAATTTCGAGGTAAGTTTGTGTTTTTTCTCTATCGTGAAAATTTTTACGAATCGTGTTTTCACACCATATAGTAATCAGTGTACATCCTCAATTGTACTATATATTTTTTTCCAAAGCGATTGATTCAACACTTTCAGTGCGGAAATGCGTTTATGCGGAATCAACCAAAGGCATTTGAGGTAGTACAGACTTTTAGAGTAGGGACTTGTCAATGGCTAGCCACTATTCAACTGCCATTGCATTTTTTGATACATCGATGATGTAGTCTACTTATTATTTGATATAAAAAACACATTTAATTTGAAGATTAAATTGCTCATTAAACGAGATAAAAATTAAGACATGAATGAATGCCGTCACTGCCATCCCACTGACGATGGTCTATTGACACTCAACTCTCATTACAAGTAGATTTTAGCAGAATAACAAATATCATCGTATTCGAACCGACGTCTTCTACCAAATCGTGCTTGACGCTATGCCAACTAAGCCACGGAACGAACTAGCGGATGTCAACCAATTTTTCTATGTGCTTGTCTGTCGGATCTTTGTATTTGGTTTTAAATGACTTTTAGCCGTAGCGCCATCTATGACAAATCTATCAAAGTATTTCTTCACCCACTTAGGTAACTTTACAGCTACCAGCCCTGGTTAGAAATGTCGCTATTAATTGTAATTAAATTTGTATTCAATTATTTTTTGTGAAATTACCACACAAGTTGTTATAATTATTAATACAAATATCAAAAAACACATAGAAAAAGTTCCTTCGACCCGGCCGGTTTCGAACCGACGTCTTCTAGCAAACCGTGTCAGACGCTATACCAACTAAGCCACGGAACGAAATAATAGACCTCAACGAATTTCTTTATGTGCTTGTTCGAAGGATTTTTTCTAAGTGTTCGATCTTTGTATTAATAATTATAACAAACTGGTGGAGTAATTTCACATAAAATTATTGAATATCAATTCAATATAAATTTAAATACCAACGTAATTGCAATTCAATAGAAAGACAATGATCAGTGGTTTCAAGAAAATTATTGGACGTGGGGCCCTAAAAAGTTACAAACATTTCAATGATTTTAATATTTTACTTTGAAAAATTACCCACCGTTACAAACTCACGTATAACTTTTGTGGGTTAAGGTAAAACTGTCGCAAACTTATTCTAAAGCAAACTATTCTAATAGCAAAGTTATGTTCGCGAATTTTCAATAGCGTAAACTCAATAATGGGTTGGAAAGTTCAATCGATAAGTTCCTGGAACTTGTGAAGTGGAAATCCAGTACTCAGAAGAAGAACTAACAGGTATCGACGTTGATTATTTAGCTAACGATATGTTTAAAGCTTCGATTACAAACAGATACCGTTAAGTATAAGCTTAGAAAACTCAACCCGAGTGTATGTGAAGAAACAAAAGCATTTGTGACTGTAAATGGCAGTTAAAATTTGTTTTTTTATTAATAATTATTAATACAAAGATCGAACACTCAGAAAAAATTCCCTCGATCCAGCCGGATTCGAACCGAACGTCTTCCAGCATACCGTGCCAGACGCTATACCAACTAAGCCACGGAACGAACCAGCGGACCTCACGAATTTTTCTGTGTTTATTGTCGTGTCTTTGTCTTTCTTAAAAAGCAACGACTTTTTAGCCATAGCGCCATCTATGAGAAATCTTAAGTATTTCGTCACCCAATCAGATACCTTTACAGCTACCAGCCCTGGCTAGAGACGTCGCTATTCATTGTATTTAAATTTTTATTGAATAGATATTCAATTATTTTTTATGTGAAATTACTATACCAGTTTTTTTTTTTTCTTTAAGTATATACCAGGGGTGCACACGGAAAGAGCTTCTCCGCACGACATAGGTACCATTGCCTATATCCTGGGCAACAATCGGCGAGTCTCTTATGCTGATTGGCAAATCCTTTCACCATGATGGCAAGCATTACAGTGTGTTCCATCAATACGACAAGAAGATCACTGTATTTTTATTTTATAATTTTTCTAGCTAATTAGAAGTAAATAACCACGAAAATCTTAAAATATATACAGTTGACTTGTTCTCAGGTTAACGTGTATTGGGTTGTTAGAAATGTGGGTCCCACTATGTTTTCCTCATCGATGGTTTTCCTATACCTACTGTTACAAAAGGCAATAATAAAATTTATACTTTATCGGTCTTTATTATCTCTTTGTGTGCTTTATTTTTTTTTTTTTGTTTATAATACCAAGTGGCAGGATGAACTAGTCGTGCGCCTGGTGGGAAGCGACACGCCTAACTATAACAGTCGCAGTGCCACTCAGAGCTTTAAATTTCAAAGATCTTAGAGGCACTACCACTACGCTCGTCACCCTGAAACATAAGTTGACAAGTTCCATGTGCCTGTAATTTTACCAGGACCCTTACCCTTCGAAACCGGAACGCATCAATGCTCACATTTACTGCTTGACGGCAGAAATAGTTAATAAGGAGCTCTACTGCTACTAAAATTACGGCGTTATGGTACATTTATACATAGTCTGGTATTATAAATCTTTTCTGATTGCGTTACTTTATTGTAATGTAAAGAAATAAACTGATATTTTAGTCTGGAGATAAATTTATTACCTACATCCTCATCAACCCATTGTTGGGTTTTGTGTGTTTATTCAAATATTCGTATAGGTACCTACATAAATAACTAAACTGAGTAATAGTAATTTGACTTGATGTATACATACATGTAGGTACAACATGTCACTCACACACACGCACAATATCTAGTTAAATATTTGTAAGAATGCATTTGTGAACCAGTCTAAAATAAAAAATCAAACGGAAGGGTGCACTTCTATCATTTACCAAAATTAATTAGGGTTCTGAACTTTATTATCTTAATACCCATTTATATGTTCTGCTGCTGCGCACGGATGTCTTTTCAGGAGAGGGTTTAGGCCATAGTTCGCCACTCTGGCCCAATGCGGGTTGTGGACTTCACACGTTTTCCGAGAATTGTGAACCTTTTACAACGAGAAGGCCTGATCACCATGTTTCCATTCACCGAAAAGCTTATGGTAAATATCAAATTAAAAATAAATTTCGAGAAACTCAGAGGTGCGAGCCCGGATTCGAACCCACGGCCTATTCTTAAGAAGCGGTAGGTCAAACCACGGCTTTCGAATAAAGAAGAATCACTTTGAAATCAGTCCATCCATTTGGGAGCTATGATGCCACAGATAGACATACAGATACACAGACATTAAAGGCTTCAAAATTGTAACTCCCCTTTTTTGCGTCGAGAGTTAAAAATTGTATAAAAGGTTGTTAAGACATTTTTAAAAAAGGTTTATCCTCATGTCGTTAAAGTTTAGTACATATTTATAATAAAAACAGGCACAAGTACAAGCAAAAGATCGCCCATTACAGATAAGTAGAATTACGGGCGATCAGATTAAAGTGCGAATTATGTTAGAAAAGATAATAATGCTTTCTGAATTACAACAAACATTTATTAGCAGTCGTAGAATTAGACAATGAGTCTTAAAGAAATGTACCATAACTTAAAATGATTAATTACATTCATTATAAAATTACTTTAATTCCAAGCATAATTTATTCAAATCAAATGGAATCACTTGTGTAGAAAAACATTTTCATTAAAATGACACGACGAAGACGTGTAGCTTGTAAAGGCTGCTTCCCACGGCCTGTGTTTTTACGGGCCACGTTGCGCGGCGCCAATTTGTACGGACGGCGTGCTGGCTGGCGCCACAGGTCTGTGCGTGCGAGTCCGAGCGAGTTGGCACGAGCTTGCGCGGCGCGGACCGTGAAACCACAGGCCATGGCAAGTCGTAATATACGCAATTTAAATCCGGCAAAATAGAGTCATTTCCTATAAAAAACATTATTATTCTATTGTTTAAACTCTCTCTCTCTCTCTTTCTCTCTCAAGATAACTCTAGTGTTATCCATAAAATTAGAATTATGTATGCATAAGTATCCCTCCAGGAGCCTTGTCTCGGCACGAGTCAGATTTCTGAAGAATATAATATCTCCCTTACTTATCCTACATTAATTAATATAAGAAAATCCTTACATCAACTTTTAAATGTTCGTCTCCAGTGCGGCATTGTCCAGGCTCCCAGCTCGGTCCCCAGAAAATGGCCTTCAGTTTATTCTCCCAACCTTCAAGTCTTCTAAACTTTTCCATCACATAACCATTGTAGAATACCTAAAAATAAATAATAATAAAGCGGTCATCACACATTACAACAATGAATAACACAATTATATCATAGTATAATAAAGCAAGTACTCCAACTCCCGCCTGTTCGGCGCATCAATCTTATTTTAGTCGTACCTACAGGTCCGTCACAGTATTCTCGTGCTATATTGAAATAACCTTTATCAAATACAGCACATACATATCGATATTGTATACCAGCATCGCAGATTGGTATTTCGATTATAGGACTATCATCATGAAATTGAAATGAAATACGAGTTTGCATACATATAAATAACACAACATTTGTAAAATTTGACATAGGAAAACGCTTGACGCTTCAATTCTAAAATATAATCAATGGCGTGTGGAACCTGCGCTATGCAACTCGAGTGCACCGCGAGACTGTGCAAATGGCTATGTTATACAGAGTTATTTTTGAAATGCTAACAACCTCGCAGGACTATATTACTTACATCATTAACAACAACTTTTGTTCCGTAACTTTTCACAAAAGATAATAAATTTAATTAATAGATACAGGCGTTACTTCGCGGAAGTCCATGTTAATATTAAAATGGAAGTAATTTGCTACTCTGCAAACCTAGTGAAGGTTAAATCGTGCAAAATTTATTTAAGTTGAGCTTGTGTTGAATATTTTTTCATGCAGTAAATTTTCCCACCCTCCCTCCGCATAAAATTAATAAAATAAATAAAACAAACGCAACTGCAGTCACAAACACCACCACCAAATATACCCGACACGTGTTTCGCCTCTCCACGAGGCATCCTCAAGGGCTGTTGATTGGTCGACACTCGGCTGAAGAATCAATACATTTTTAAGATTTTCTTGTACTATCCTACACGTTTTAAATCTGCATTTGGTAGTAAGGTAAGTTCAAACGTGCAAGAGTCCACCGTGTCTCCCAAGTAATTATCGTTTAGAGCGATCTATTTAAATATATTTATTTTTGTATGAAAGTAAAATTTTATGAATTATTAAAAGTCATGGAACAAATGTTGTTATTTATGGTATTAGTAATATAGTCCTGCGAGGTTGTTAGTATTTTACAAATAACCCTGTATAGTGAGCAGCGGGCGCGCACACCACTTGTCTTATTATAATACAAGTATACTTTGTAGCGTTAGGGCGCGTTCCCATTATGTCGTGACGACAAATAGCCGTGCAGTTTAGAGTGTCGTGACATGTATATTTAAATGAAGTTGTTCACATATAGTACAATACGATTAACAGTCAGTAACAGGAAAGAGCCAGAACGATTGTCGTCAGACGACAAATAAAACGTCACGATAAAAATGTGACAAATAATCGCAACTTCAAACGATTCTGTCGTGCCGGCATGACAAGGCGGCTGCCGTGAACCGATAAATTGTCGTCACGATCTACTGGAAACAGCTAGACATGATATTCGTTCAATGATATATTAAATGTCCATGATACAGTTATGACAGATAGTAGTGGTACGGGAACAGGTTAGACGCGGAAGTCGTCCAACGTTACGACGTACTGGGATCGCGCAAGGGCGTAAGGACGCCCATCATCATCTTCGTTTGTTTTTGTCTGCACTTGCATTAGAGTAGAAATAAAATTAACCTTTTACTGTGCTTAGTGTACTGTTACTTACTTGTAACTCGAGAGGATTGAACGATGGATTATTGTAGATGAGACCGTAGACGATCTCCACCTTGTCTGTCTCGGGTCTGAAAGTCCCAAATATGCGGTCCCAGATAATTAAGACACCACCGTAATTTACGTCTAAGCAGTATTTGTTACTTCCTGAAATGAAAATACTCAGTTTAATATCACGATGAACGGGAACTTTTTCGATAGGTTTAATCAATAATTTAAACTCGAAGAATAGCTATTTAGAAGTCGAGTAAACAAATATTTTGAAAGGCGAAATTTTCAGGATTTTCTCTTTACAATTACCTTGCTTCACTATTAGGTGCCATCAAATTATGTTATGATACCATTCTACGCATGATATGATGATGAGGAATCAGGTTTATCTCATTCAGAAACCCATCTGATATCGAGACTACCCGATTGTATCGATTCCGCTGTCGCCAAAACCCACACGAACAAATGATAAACACTATGAAATCTTGATAATGATTGGTCGTAGTTTCTAATTTAAAACGAAATAAACCTTCTAGACTGTTAATATAATTTAAAATTGACCCAGTTTCTATATCGTTGAAAGTTCAATACCTGCTTTGCAAGTTACGAAGTTTTGATTGTATATTGAAATTTTATTTAACATGTTGCCATCTTGCGGGCAGTAGTTGGACTACGACGAACGACTAATATCTGAACGAATAGAAAGTAGTATCTTCTTGACCACAGATGTCTTCTTTAACGCAAACATTGAATAATCAATGAATGAATTTATCTCGTTCAATTAAGTTTAAAATTAACAAAACACTCATGAAGCATTTTTTCGGTAAACTTTTGTTCGCTACTAGCGTGGAAAATTCATCATTTTAGCTTTCATAAACAGATAATAAGGTATTTTTCTACGATCTTAGAGAATTTGCGCGAAAGAATTACAAACCGAAAATGGCGAACTGAGCTCAAGTAGGCCTAACTAGGCCTACTGTTGGCACGCGTGCTAAGCGAACTAACCAATTCTACTGCATTTATTGTTCTGTGAGATCATCGAATACATAAAATAAAGTCCAAGTTCTATGAACGACTTTTATTTACGTTTATATATCGAAAGCTAGTTCGCAACAATCTTCTACTTTTGACTTATTGGCGGTACCTTTTTTAAGATTAAAGATCTATCCACACATATCCGGGCCGTGGCCGGGACGTGGACAGGCCGTGCTCCGTCAGGGGCTCAAAGAATATCGTGTATATTTTGTATGAACTCGTTCACACATGTCCGTGTCCGGACCGGGACCGGGACGTACACGCCGTTCATACAAGCTAGCACGCCCCGTCCACGTCCCGTGCACGGCTTGGATATATGTGGATACTCCTTTATTCATTCGGAATTATATGGCGCAAAATTTGGTAAGCGCCAGTCACTCACGCCACATGTCAATGAAATATGGCAATTCAATAAAACCTGCCAATATTCCAACATGGACGAAAGAATTTGAAAAGAAAGCATAAATAGAGATCGATTTGGTTTTTTCAATGTTTACTTATAAAATGTCTGTTCAAACTGGCCAGTGTGAAAATACGCCAATAATTTTATTTTGACATTGTTTTTTTCTCTAGATATGATATAAAGTGACGGGACGAACCGAACAAGTTTTAGTAGTAGTAGAGCACATTATGAAAGAGTTCGTCCAGGAACTGCCACCTTAATTATTTTTGCAGCCATGCAGTAATGTGAGCATTAGTGTAATCCAGTTTTAGTGCTGGGGACATAGGATTTGTCAACTTACATCTCAGAGTGACGGCCGCACTGGTAGTGTCACTCAGTCCTTTCCGATTAATTGCTCTGAGTGGCATTAGCACTGCTAATGGACAAGCGTGTTGCTTGTCGTTAGTGATTGAATGAATAAATGAATGCCATCACTACCGTTGCACTGGCGGCCTAATGAGACTCATCTGCCATTGCAACTATATTTTAGCAGAATAACAAATATCAAGGATATAACCATGAGCTACGTAATAAACACAGGGTTGCACCCGTACAGCATATTCTGTCCAAATCGGGCAAATTATTGGGCTCGACAGTATATACCCGGCTGCCTCTTGAAATTGTTGATTCCGCTTCGGAAAACTTATGTAAATGTAGATTTAAGCGCTGGCCCGTTAAGCCATCAATATATAACTTATCACATTGGTTATATAAGATTTAATTATAATTTTGAATGTAACTACAATAGTAATATAAGAAAATAATAAGAATATGATTTGTAACTTTTTATGACTTGTAAATGTTAATTTTACCAATAAAGAATATATCTATGTCTATATCTACGCCATCGTAATCGAAATATAATGTTGTCTGTCCATAACAGTTGCAGTGCCGCTGAGTGCTTTAAACCGCAAAGATCAGAGGGGCAATACTACTGCACCCGTCATCATGAGATATAAAGATCACAATTTCCATGTGACTGTAGTTTTACCAGCACCAAAATCCTTCAAAATCGTGAAAAATATATGCCTGATTTATGAAGAAGTGAACATATTAATTGTCACTTTTTTGTATGAATTACTGGAGTTCAAAACCCTTGCGAATTATTCTAATAGCATTTTGTTTTCTTCAAACGCGACGATTTAACAATTCAAATAACTTTTTTAAGGCAAAGCACGAAACAAACTTGTCAAGCACAAATTAAGTTAAAAGAAAGCTCTCAATTTAAAAAAAAGCACTTTGCATTAACATGCCTCTTTGAAAATGCCAGTTATTCGTAATTTGATTCGCTGCTAATTTTATTATGAGACTTTTCAATTTTTCATCTCAAATTCACTATACAAAATTGAAATAAAGAAAATATTTAAAACACAGAGGCGAGTTCAACCTTCGGTAATTGTTTTGTAACGTTTAACAATTGCTTAACGTTTCAGATTTGCCATATATATTTATTTTATATGAAATCGTTGGTACATCTGGGCAAGAGCTCGTGAAAGAGCTCGTCCAGGGAAGTACTACGAGTACTTCCGGTTTTGAAGGGTAAAGGTGCTGGTGAAATTACAGGCACTTTTTCAACTTATGTCTCAGGGTGACGGGCGCAGTGGCAGTGCCCCAAAGACCTTTGCGATTTAAAGCTCAGAGTGGCACTGCAACTTGTATGGATAGGCGTGTCGCTTATCATCAGGTGCACGACTTGTTTGTCCCGTTACTTGGTATTATATAAAAAAAAATATTTACAGTATTAAATACATAAAGGGTTAATTTCAGGTTTTGTCTTGACGTATGAAGAGGTTTTACAAAGTCATGTTTTACGTCCATGCGTTTTGTTAAAAAAAAACCTCAGAATGGAGAATAGAAGTTAAACTAGGTTGATTGTAAAGAAGACCTGAAACCCTTCGAAGTAGTTAATTTTCCTGTGAGAAATGGACCTGTATTATGTTACACGGTAGATGCAGATTGTATATTTCTCAAGTCCCAAGCATTATTATTATTATGTAGTCAACCGGCCCGCTGAACTTTCCATGAACCATCTTACTGTACGTTTTTAAAGATGAATTTAAATCTCCAGCACACCTAAGTGAGATGTACTGTACTCAGTACTTATATTTTGACGTGAAAAATATTTTTAGAAGAAAGCTCAAAATTCACAAACCAAAAAAAGATACTGAGAGAATTTGAATAAATTATTTTATTTTGTAAATGAACCTTTCATTCCATTGAAGCTTCCTCCACTTTGCAAAGTGTTTTTGTTTTTGGAAGTGAAAATTACATTTCGCCGCGTAATAGAATTACGGTATTAGAGTGTGTAGAGAAAGGCAGATTTGAAATTAATTTATTGTTTTGTTTTGAATGGTGGTTACACTTACTGAAAATAATTCATGATCATTTGTGTATTGAATAAACATAATATAAACATCATTGTGTTTTTAAACTTTTACACATATTATCGCCTTAAAAGGATGCTTAAAATTTCAGCGTTAATAGGAAATATTGTCGTACTTCTATAAATTTAATATGAATACAATAATCATCCATTACGATACTCATTGATATAACTGACAATAACGAAAATGAATTATTTACATCGCGTGATGGCTTGAATAATTTAAAATAAATAATATTTTCCGTTAATATCGTAAGTTACGTCTATTCACACCGAGGTGGCTATGTAAAGTATTTTTATTGACAATTTTTTCATCACATGAGTGACTGATATACTATAACGAGTTAAAATAACATCCTTAAGAAAACAAAGCTTAAATTTCCTATACTGTACTTTAAATATTCAGTCCCTTCCTTGATTTGAAAATCAAGGAAGGGACTGAATATTTTCAAATAATCTGAGTTCTTTTGGAAACTTTTAAGTACCAAAGAGCTCTAGATTCCCTTACAAGGAATTTCAGGATTCGGAGAAAGGGTGCGTAACAAATAATATTAACGTTGTATTTCCAAGTTTTGCCGACATAATAAGTTTGTCTTCTAAGGTGATTTGGACATCGATTTATTTTATCTGTACAATAAATAAAAAAATAAAAAAGGGTTGACTGATGAATTTTGTAAAAAGAAAGTATTTCGATGACTTTACGATCAGACATTATTCTCCATTACAAATAAGGCGTAGGTAAGGGCGTAGATACTGTAGACAAAGGATGTAAAGTAAAAGCATTAATAATTTAGCATCTACTTTGAAAACTAAAAAACGAAATGCGTACCTTTTCTATTGGATCCTAACATCTCAGGAGGGATATAAATCACAACTTCGTTAGGGCAATTCCTTAGGTGATACTGGGTTCCATGTACCGTGTTACAGTTAAAACTTTCTCCAGTAAGTAACTTTCACAGATTTCAAGGAAAATAATAACAGGCCCTAGAGATTTAAGACGTCTCAAATTAAATCAACTTGTTGAACCACTTTATCTTACCCAGTAATAGCACGATAAATGGCACAGAACAATAAATACAGTAGAAGTGCTTAGTTTGCTTGCCACGAGTGTCAACAGTTCGCGGAATTCCGCAAACTTTAGCTCAGTCTCCTATCTTCGTTTTATACGTTATCAATTATCTCGCACAATCTCTCGAAAATCGTAGAAAATGCCTTATTTCGCTACTTTGGAGTCCAAAAATGATAGTTGCACTTGTAATATTAACTATGATGGCGTTTCGTATCATCATATCATCCAGTCTTATTTTAGTTAATTTTAATAAATTTTCAATTTTCTGTTTATCGTAATCATGTTTTTACAAGATGCGTAAATATCGCAAACAAGTAGTCGCTTCTTGTTTGGAGAACTCAGTAAACATTTCGAATTTGTCGTCGTTCAGCTATTAACCGCTAGATGGCAGCACATTGATTGAAATTTCAATATAAAAATCAAAGCGTCGTAACTTGCAATAACAATAGGTATTGATGGTATTGAGCTTTCAAGGGTAGCCAACAGGGTGAAGTTTAAATTATATTAACAGTCCAGAATTTGTTATTTCTTTTTAAATTTGAAACTACGATTATCACTTATTATCAAGGTTTCATCGTGCTTTAAATTATATATATAATGTGTGAGTATTGGCGACAGCGGTTCCGATAGTAATCGAGACTTAACGCACTTCCATTATTTTTTCTTCCGTAATTAACCACGGGGTCAACATCGTGCGATAGAAAACAATTTTTGGTATTCTCAGAACTTCACAATCGAAACTGGTCGGCACTTAGCAATAAGTGGACGTAGGCAGGTGTCCCACGTCAACTCGTATGACAATGACAGATATGACAAATTAGTGGCTACAATTCGCACCCTCATTGTAATGAGGACACATCTGTAAAATGCCAATTTTTGCAGGAGAGGCGTTTAAAGTAAGAGAAAAAAGAGAGAAAGAAATTAGTCGTTAACTTCTTTGTGCTAAAAATTAGAGAGTTATACATTTCGTATATACATAATTCATTTCACATTATTATGATAAAAGTACTTTTGATGTACGATTACATGAGAGATAAATACATGTCATTATTTTTACACGGCTGTGAAGAAATAAAAAAGATCTTGCAAATTTTTGTTTTTGCGTTAAAAATCTTTGCCGATTATGTTACGAATACAATCGAGAATAGGATTGTTTATTTACAAAGGTCTTAGTGATATTTACTGTAGACTTTGAGTCTTTTTATCGTTAATAGAAACGACTTAGGTGATAAAATAAGTAACATACTGGAGAGTCGCCATACTTTTCAATGTTAACTAATACGTTATGGTTATACTACATTACTAATACGTATGGTACGGTCCTAAGGATTAGATGGCATTGTCATATAATTATCATTATCATCTTCAACCCATTCATACGTCCCACTTCAGTGAGAGATGCTCAGGGACGGGATTAGGCCATAGTCCGCCACGCTGGTCCCGTGCGGGAGGAGACCTCACGTGTTTTCCGAAGGTTGCGTACCTTCTTCGACGTGCAGGTTTCATGATAATGTTTTCCTTCACCAAAAAGCTCATAGTAAATTTAAAATTAAATTTCAAACAGAAATTCTGAGAAACACAGAGGTGCGAGTTCAGATCCGTACCCACTAATTTTAATTTTATTTATTTTATATGCTACCAATAGCTTATATCGCACACAACAAGCAAAAATTTTCGTCTGATCAAAATTCAAAACAAGTTCCTATTTTATTTTTGGCTTCAAAATCTGCAGTCAGTCGAACAGATTATGATCAGATGAGATGGAAGATATGGAACGTTCCAGAAGATGCAGGAAAATTACCTTAATGGTACCCTTCTCCCTTTTATTACATGGCCTAGCGGCTCTTTTCAGTCTCAAACTAAATAAAGAGAAAAATATATTCACACATATACCTTGCTTTTCTTCGAGTACATTACTTCGTAGTACTAAATGTTGGTGTGATAAATTTAGACATATTATCTTACCATGGTGCACTCGATGATGACTAGGCGTGTTCAAAATATATTCTAAAGGTCCAAGGCTCTTAATAGCCTTAGTGTGAATCCAGAACATGTAGAGGTAGCTGAACTGATGGTGCATCACGAACTGCGATGGGGGTATTGCCAGCGCCAGTGGGAGATAAAAGACCTGTGAAAAAATTAATATTTCATTGTAATCATTAACTCTTAACTTGCGGAAGTTATTGGCCGTCCATAAGAAGCGGAAATAGGTCCGAACTAGCGCCTTCGTTTTTCTATGTGTTTGTTGCGATCTTTGTTTTTGGATGACAAATCTATGCACAAAGCATAGCACAAGGCTCGATTTTTGGGCCGACAGAATATTTACTTTACGTGAATGATATGTCGAATGTCATTAAAAGAGGTTCTGTATATCAGTTCGCTGATGATGCTTGTCTTTTAGTAGTCAATAAAGATTTAAATGTAGCCCGGACTGATACGAATGTGAATATATGTGAATATGATTTTAATCAATTATTTATATGGATAGGATTAGTGATAAATGCGTAAAAAACAAAACTTATACACATACGCTCATCACATAATAAAGTACCTTTCAAGCCGACAATCATTTCTCACATTTATCTTTAGAAGCAGTAGATAGTCGTATGTATATAGGGGTTGTGATCGATGACAGATTTAGCTGGGGACCACACAAAAACTATTTATATGCAAAATTGAGATCTGTTCTAGGAAAATTTTCAGTGCTTAAATATAAGGTATCTTACAAAACTCTAAGATTAATGTATATGGCCCTAGCCGATTCTGTGATCTGTATAAGTAGTTATGGTTTAACATATAATACGTCTCTTAAGAAATCTATAACTTACAAATAAGAATCTAAAAAACTATTGTTTTAAATCGCATTAAAAATAAATATAAATATAATAATGTTGGGTTATTTAGCTATTGTCAAGTAATGAGTGTTTTTGATAAAGTCAAACTTTCAATTTTGACTGAATTTAATTATGTACATAAATTATGTGAATACCAGGGACCAAAAAATTTAAGAATCTTAGAAACCAAAACATATTTACTACCTAAAACAAATAATGTATATGGTACTCAAAAATTAGATTATATAATTCCTAAATTATTAAATGAATTGTCTGCGTGCATTCAAGATCTATATGTAGAGGGAAAATGTAAAATGTAAAAATAAACTAAGGTAACATTTGTTAGAACGAATCGCTGTGGACGGATAAACCCTTAGAGCTACAGCTGCATGTATGTAATAAACCATTGTAAAATATATTAGGGGTTAAAGTATGAAATTGCCGTTTTATTGCAATAGGTTCTTTGAATTTTCATAGAATCTACATGGTTTGAGGTTTTCGAATGAAACTTTTTTCAAATGGTTTCTGTGATTTTTTTTTTTTTTAATTTGAAACATTTGAATATCGACTTTCAATTGTTTTTGTTATTCAATTTAGACAAGAAAGATGGATACTGCGAAAATTCGAGTGATTTTTGAATACGAGTTCCGACGCGGAACTAACGCGGCAGAAACAGCCCGCAATATCAATGCTGCGTTTGGAGAGGGGTCTACTAATGAACGCACCGTGCGATTTTGGTTTAAACGCTTTCGTGATGGAAATTTCGACTTAAAGAACGAGCCACGAGGAAGACCGCCCACACAGGTGAATAACGATGAATTAAGAGAGATAGTGGAAGCCGATCCTAGTCAAACTACCCAGGAATTAGCGGCATGGTTTAACGTTACCTTACCCACAATATTGACTCACTTGCGTCAAATCAATAAAATAAAAAAATACGAAAAATGGGTGCCTCATGATTTGACTGATCTGCAGAAAGAAACGCGTGTTGAAACTTGTGTTGCCTTGTTGAACCGGTACAGAAATGAAGGAATATTGGATCGAATTGTAACATGTGATGAAAAGTGGATTCTTTATGATAACCGGAAAAGAAAAATGCAATGGCTGACCCCAGGTCAAATGCCACAACAGTGTCCTAAAGCAAAACTTACCAATAAAAAGGTAATGGTAACTGTTTGGTGGTCTCAGCATGGTGTTATTCACTATAGTTTTCTCCGATCTGGTCAAGCAATAACGGCAGATGTCTATTGTGCCGAACTCCGAACCATGTTGACAAAACTAGCAGTAAAACAGCCCCGACTCATGAATCGATCTTCACCATTATTGCTCCACGACAACGCGAGACCTCACACAGCACGAGAAACCATTTTGACCCTTCAGGAACTGCAGTTAGAAACTATTCGTCATCCTCCGTATTCACCAGACCTTGCTCCAACGGACTACCATTTTTTTCGTGATTTGGACAATTATCTACGTGACAAGAAGTTTTCTTCCCAGGAGGCAGTACAAAATGCTTTCACACAGTTTGTGCAGTCTAGATCGTCGGAGTTCTATCGCAAAGGCATTAATAACCTTCCCATTAGATGGCAGCAATGTATAGATAATAATGGCAACTATTTTGATTAAATAAATTTGTTAAAAATTTAAAAAATAAACAATTTAGATTTTCAGTACAAATCGGCAATTTCATACTTTAACCCCTATTATTAAATAAAAAAAATAGTTTTTCTTCACTCAGCCAGGTAACTTTACAGCTACCAGTGGGTGACAAGAGAAGTCGCTTTAATAATTGTAATATTAAGATTATTGAATACCATGATGTATTACTACCATTATACATTACATTTATATTTGAAATATGGTTTTCTTGACTATTCAATGTACTATCTTTAAGCCCGAGTAATGTAATCGTATAATTGTACACAAATTTTCTGAATGTAATTAAATCCCGAAATAGCGCCTAAATGTTGGCCACTTCTAGTTTTGTTTCATAATGCAATTATAATGGGCACCTACGAGTCTTTCGAGATAAAGTACTAGTGTAGCTATCTTCGTAGCAGTAGAGCTCCTTGTGGAAGAGTTCGTCCAGGGAAGTACTGCCACTTTTTTATTAAAAATAAGTGCGCATTTGACTTTGACTCTAGCCTTGAAAAGCCCCAACTTATGTCTCAGGTGACGGGCGCAGTGACAGTATTCCTCAAATCTTTGCAATTTATGGCTCTGAGTACAGCAACAGATATAGGCAGGGTAGGGGTAGGGTACCGTGTATCACCAGACGCACAACTTGTTCGTCCCGTCACCTAGTAACATAAAAAAAGTGATATCTTAATGCAACAAAATGAAATAAACATGATTAACGAAGATTTTAAAACTTTTGGTATGGAAATTAGCCTTTGTTAATTTGAATTTTTTCCTAGTTTTGTACTCAATTCTCCAACAAAAAGTGACCTTTAACTGACAATTATTATTGTCCTGCAATAGTTACAAAAGAAAAATGAAAATTTGAATCAAGGAACCTTAACGAGATGACTTCTGTAATTATTCGTGGCATGTTTTGAATAAGGTTTTTTTATGATTTCTCGAGGAATACATTCAAATTTGGCAATAATAACAGTTTCATGGTCTCGGATATTCTGTAGGGTTGGATATACTGCTCTAACACACAGGGAATTGAGGTCGGGATTTCGTGTGGTCAGTCTAAACGGCGAATCACAGCGTCAGTCAGGTAAGCGTCTACTTTATCCGCTCGGTGTGCGCAAGCATTATCGTTCATGAAGACAGGAGCGGTACATGAGATGGCTAAAGCTATGGTTTATTGCTTGTTGCGCATAATCATCATCAATCCAATTATACGTCCTACTGTTGGGCAATGCGGGTTGAGGACTTCACACGTTTTCACACTTTTGTAGCAGTAGAGCTCCTTGTGAAAGAGTTTGTCCAGGGAAGTACTGCACTGCCACCTTACCTATTTCTGCCGCCAAGTAATATAAGCATTACTGTGTTCCAGTTTTGAAGAGTAAGGGTGCTAGTGAAATTTCAGGCACATGGGATTTATCAACTTATGTCTCGTGACGGGCGAAGTGGAAGTGCCTCTCAGGTTTTTGAGTGGTACTGCACTGTTATGGACAGGCATGTATCTTACCATCAAGCACACTTGTTCCTCCTGTCACTTAATATTATAAAAAAAAGTTTTCCGATGTTTGTGGATCTTCTTCCACGTTCAGGTTTCATCACTATGTTTTCTTTCAACGAAAATCTCATGATAAATTTCAATTACATTTTGCACATAAGTTCCGAGAATTTCAGAGGTACGAGCCCGTATTGAGAGGCGGTAGGTCAAACCATTAGGCCACAGATTCACAACAGTGGCGCTTCAAGTGTTGCGTGTTTATTGTGTCTTGTGTTAAATGTATCCAACACAAGACACACGTTTGCGCGCAATGTATGCACAAATTTTGAACTCCGCGCTGAACGCGCCACCCTGTTCCGAATTTGCGACCTTAGGCTACCACGGCGTTGCAGCACATAAAGGTTTAGAACTTCCAAATCCATGTAAATATTATGCATACAAAACTTCTTTTCTATAAAATTTGAAAAGTTTGAAAGAAAAGATTTAGGCACCCATTTATTTTACAGAAGTGTTTATTAGTTCTAAAATTCTAGTCGACTTCAAATTAAATAAATGTTTTTAGTATAAAATTCATATTATTTTTATTTTTTCAAATAATAATATCTTAAGATTTCAAATTTTGAAATTATGTTTTTTATTTGTATTTATTTTAATAAATATACGTAACTTTATTGGCTATTTTTTATTTAGTGCACACATTAAATTTAAAATCGCCACATCTGCTCACTTTACAGATGACTTAAAAATGGTCAACGCCATCTAGGGGCATCTTTCAAACTAACAATCCGCTACAAATATAATTTTCTATTTTTAAATTTCTCTTACTAAATACCATCAATTTCATATTTTGGTGCTATTATTAAATCTATTTTCAAGTTTGCAATGAGCATTTATTACAAAAAAATAAGATTTTTTTCTTTTTATAGTACCATGTGACGGAACACGCCTGTCCATAGCACTTGCAGTGCCACTCAGACTTTTAAAATGCAAAGATAACCAGGGAGACTCCTACTTTTCCTGTCACTCTGAGACAAAAGTTAATAAGTCTCATGTGCCGGCAATTTCACCAGTATCCTTATCCTTCATAATCTCAGTACAGAGTACTAAAAGAACCGACCTCAAAATTACGTGGAATTACATATAATTACCAAGTTTTATTGGAATCGGTTACCGGAATTCAGGATTCATCCCCTAGTTCGCTACTATACGGTACTTGACATAGGAGAAAATAAAAAACGGTTCTCACTACTCAAAGTATATTGAGAGACAAAAACGCCTTGAATTGGAGAATAGCAAAATCAACCATTAAAATAATTGCTCCTTATAATACAATTTAGGCGCTATTTATAAAAATGAATCTTCATGCGTGAACAGCCACCCTTAGAGGTGGATGATTTTCTTCAAATTTAAATGGGACCACTATCGAGGTACCCTCTTTCCAACAAAAAAATAATCATGAAAATCGGTTCATTTATCGGTTCAGTTATCGCGTAACATACATACAATAGAAAAACATACAGTCGAATTGAGAACTTTCTCCTTTTTTTGAAGTCGGTTAAAAATAGGAAAGCAGTAATACAAAATAAAGAAATCTCTCACAAGGAGCGTACTGACTACTAAATTTGTTATCTATGCAGTTAAAATATGATGAAATCTTAATTCACCATTAACATTTAGGAATTTTAAGACTATAACGTAAACTAATTATAATAAAGGACAAACACGTATAAAATGTTCTTTTTAATAGGGTACTTTATATTCCTAAGTAGATTTTCATATAATATTTTGAAATATTCTGTCTACCTTTACACGCTTAAAAAAGTACGTGACGTAAATAATTACATACCGACGTAAATAATTGAAGAGTGTATGGAAAGGTTAAAAGACTGCTTATTCGTTGGTCTATGAGTTTTTCAGCGATTGAATGCTTCAATAAATCTATTTCCTAGTGTATCCACTGCCATCTAACTCCCAAAACTAACAGCGCAATGTAACTAAAAGTTAAGCGGGTAACTTCAAAGACTAACATAGCAACTAACGGGATAACTAGCAGCGTAACATCGTAACTAACCAGATGACTAGTAATAGGGTGATGTTTATACTATTTTAAATCGTAAATAAATATTGAAAATGAAACTAAGTATTTTTTCGGAACTAAATCGCGTATATTTGTTTTTTCTAAGAACCAAAAAAAAACAAACATACGCAATTGTAGCCCGAAAAAAATATTTAATTTCCAATGTGTAGCAGTACCAAAAACGTAAGAATAGATACGTAACGTATATTACTTTGATTTCGACTTTATTTGAATTTCTAAGTAGACTGCCTTTTGAATTACTAACATTATTATTAATACAAATATCGAACACCTAGAAAAGTTCTACGTTTCCTAGCAAACAGCGCCAGATGCCAACTAAGCAACGGAACGAACCAGCCACCAGTCACGAACTTCTCTATATGCTTGTTGTCGGATCATTCTTTTTGGTTTTTAACGAAGTTTTAGACGTAGCCCCCATCTGTGATAATTCTATGAAAGTATTTCGTCACCCAGTTAGATACATTTACAGCTACCAGCCCTGGCTAGAGATGTCGCTTTTAATTGTAAATAAGTTTTTATTGAATGTCAGGATGTTTCACCACCAAGATATATCATTATTTTTTGTGAAATTACTCCACTAGTTTGTTATAATTATTAATACAAAGATCGAACTTTCCTATATCTATGGATCGAACCGACGTCTCCTACCAAACCGTGCCAGACGCTATGCCAACTAAGCCACATAATAACATAGCGTATAATAAATATATTCATATTAGTATATTTATTGTATGATTTTTTTTAAACGCACACACTCATAGCCCCGCACTAGGAATACCCTGTATCCCGGGTGCCATGGACATACATATAAACAACCACAAATTACAGCCAAACGCACGAGAGAAATAAATGTAGGTCATTAAAATATTTCTACCGGTCCGGGAATCGAACTCGGTACCTGCGCGTGGCAAACCAGCATGGTAACCGTTCGGCGACTGAGGCGGGCAGTTATATCACATATTTAAAGCCGGTGGGTGATAAAGGTAAGACTTTGATAATTTTTCATAACACAAGCAAGAGTATCATATGCAGACATGTATATCTGTACCTATAAGTACACATACTTAGATGTACAAATATTTATGTGGGCTTCCCTCTTCTCCTCCCCTATCATTTATTACCTTAATGGATTCATGTGCACGCTGCGTGGACAACATTTGCTTAATTCCAAAGATTTATTTCAGTAACGTTGGTAATTTGCGACGAAAATAAATATAAAGAGAGAAGAATAAATATAAAGCACGCATAATGACGGACTACTTACTTTACATTATACGAAATTATAATGTACGTTAGAAATAGTCTTTCTTCATTTACTGTAAATGTTTCTGGCATCCCGTTCCGCCGGTCATTTGAGAACAGTCCCCCGACTCTGTAAGTGCCATGGCACTTGCAGAGAAAAACCCGCATGTCATCGGACCTACATATTATGAGTGTCTATATACCCGCTACTGTCAGACTTGAACATCTGACGAACCATTTAGGCGCCGCCGGCTGAAAGACTTTTTCTTGGAAAATCCTTTATACCTGCTTTATACTCTGTAAATGAATTCATGGACCTAAAAATGTAACGCTATTGAGTATTTTGTACTTTTTGTAATTCATTTCAATTTTTATTGCACTGACATATTTATGTATATTTATTATCAACTTAATACTATCCTTGATGGAGAATGATATTTCATATGTAATTTAATGACAACAATATTATTACTAATGAATTTTCTAATTTAATATTGTGTTTTTTTCATCTTATAATTTTAATTTGTGTTTGACAATCTCAATATAATTTCTTATACTTTGAGATATTTTGACAATTAATCTTATCATATTTGAGAAATAAATGAATCTGAATCTGAACCATGCCCAGCTTAAGGATAGAATACAGAATATAGTATCAAGTGATTTAGACCACACACTGGTAGGCAGTGACTGCCTCAAACTAAATGGTATACTTGCCACTTAGTGCACTATTTTGATCCAAACAAGCTTGAAGACTATACAAATCTACTAAAGCCCGGCTCTCACTAATGTGAACGGCACGGCTGGGAATTTTTAGGTGGCGAATAGTAATATACTTTAATGTTATGACATAGTAGTTTAAATTTCAGTTTTAGTGGTCGTAGCTATAAAAACAAAGTGTCGGGCCTAAGAATTTTATGTCATTTTCTTCTCTAAGAAGCCATATGAATTTCTTTCCATATAGCTTGTTAGGTTTCGTGAGAGTTTGGTACCATTTTTCAACTTCCACGTAGTTTATTAGTACAGTAAAAAATCTAAGATGTGGGTACTTACAAATCCACACCATCCTTGCAAAACTGATTGTCTGATCCCAACACCCATGTTGAAGTCTTCAGACGTATGATGTACTTGATGTTGCGCCCATAATATGTGCACCTCTGTGGAATAAAAATACAAAACAATGACAAAATAAGTAGATATTAATTAAGTTGAAATAATAGTTTCGGCATTAAAATTATAATTCAAAAGCCTTGTAAAAAGAAAACAAAATTGGCGGGTCGCAATTGAAGAAAAAAAGCGACAGCGAAACAAAACACGACTGCGTTCCCTTTCTGATTTAAATGGTTCCGAAAGTCAGAATTGAATAAAAACTTCTTGAGCGTTTGCTAATTGGACCTCTTTTGTTTAGCTGTCCAAAACAGTTGTAATTGAAATAATTTGTAGCATTCAAAAACTCTTTACAAAACTACGTGTTTTACGGTTTAGGTTTAGTTATTAGAAGACATTGTTAAGCGACCCAGATTATTATTCCAACATTCAAGTTTGAATTTCAAACCATTAAACGCGGTTTCCACCCTCAAACAGATTAAATTTTGGGTAACTATGTCTTAACGTCTACTTGAATTATTTACGGTCGTGTTCTTGCGCCCCTTAACCTGTCGTAAGTTAAACTTATCAGGTTAGTCTATGTGATGTAATCCAAGCTGTTTGTGAAGTATATCAATATAAAATTAACCACTATAGTTTTGACAAGCATCAACAATTATATGCTTTTTAATATAGTCTTCACAAATGGATATAAACTCCATTGTGAAAACATTATTGTCATTGAAAAATAGGCATGCATAAATCAGGATTTAGGAAACGGTAACCGCCGTTCGTGACGTCACGCCACTAATGGCGCTATCCAAGCTACATGCTAACGAATGTTTTACAAAAAAGGGATCGGAGCATCCCGCACCACCCCGGTTTGAACGTAAATTTATTAATATCGCTCTCTGATGTTAGTTAAGATTTGAATAACGAATTCCAGACAAATTTTCAGCATGTTTATGAGAACTGACTGAAGCCATAAACAACATTGAATCATGGTAAGAACGAGATTAGTTTGCTAAACAAAATATGCTCAAAAATCCAGTTTAAAATGGATTACACCTATAAAATCTAGAGTAATTGTCATTATATATAAAATAATTCAAATATAAAACATGTTTCGTAAACAACATTACATTTATTTGATGAAATTATACATCCGTGTCACGAATATACTTCTGTCAACTTGTTTCAAGCTCGTTTACTCCTTTGCCGTAGGATAATGGAGAAGGGAAATCCACTTAGAACTCATTTTCGACTACTTCATGGGAACTAATTTGTTTTCTTTGTAGATAATTATCTTAATTGTGGAAAAATTTGTAGTCGGTAGGCGCCAAGTTGCTAAGGCTTCAATCTCCAACTCCGGTAAAGTGAAGACGGTTTGTTCGAAAGTGTGCATTCTGGGGTTTACATGTAGAAATAGCAGTAATCAGACGTCATGATCAGATAGCTACTACTATATCTATAAACTGGCAGAATACTCTACGACTGGAGCAGCAAACAGTTATCAACAATTTTTTCTGGGTAAGTTTTATATGGGCACTGTTTGTGTTTGTCGTTAGCCTTCATCACTGATCGTTTGTAATTATTATAAATAATACATATTTTATCATAAGTAATGATACAATAAAATACTTTTTAACCTTAGTTAACATTCATTAAAAAATGCCACAACGTAACATAAAAAATTACATATCTTTTATTGGTGGTGAAATGACATACTATCAATGTTTTTAGTAGCAGTACAGCTCCTTGTGAAAGTTCCTCCAGGGAAGTACTGACACCTTACCGCTATTTCTGCCGCCAAGCAGTAATGTCAGCATTACTACGTTCCGGTTTTGAAGGGTAAGTCAGGGTGCTGGTGAAATTACAGGCACATGGGACTTATCAACTTATGTCTCAGGGTGATGGGCTCTCAGTGGCACTGCAACTGATATAGACAGGCGTATAGCTTACCATCAGGCGCACGACTTGTTCGTCCTGTCACTTGATATTATAAAAAAAATATGAAATGCCTTCAGATCATCTTTTAAGAAATTTTTACTATTTGCTCTGTTGTCGAACGGAAATGGCTGCCGTGCTGTGTTTACGTGTAATCAGATCAGAGCCACTTTACTAATGGAATTAACATCCCACTAAACATCCATCTCACAAACGTGAGAACACATAATACATGCCCCATCAGTTCCGATTTTGTATGTGGGTTATTAACCACATGCCTCCTAACCTATGCGTACATTTTTATTACTTTTGATTTGGACTTAGTTGAGTTTATTTTATCTTTTTTTACTTGGGCAAAGCGACATCATCTCTGTCATTTTTCCGGCTTGACTGAAAACCAACGTAACGAGACATATTCCATCTCGTTACAAAAAGCTGACAAAAAGGAGACCATTATGGTAACATTTTAAATATAATTGTTTTTACATTGTGTTTTAACTTAATTTATTTTATTTTTGTTATGTTTTGTCTGTAAATCACCGTTTTAATAATATATAATATATAATAAATAATTTTTCTTTACTTCTTTATGGTAGTTCGATTTTTAAATTCTAACTTTAGGGTGAAATCGACCGGTATTGTGGACACAGTTACATCAAACCATTCTGCAAATTTCACTGTAGTTGGAATAGACAGCCGTTATTTAGAAATAGCTCGCAAGTCGTTAAAATTCCCACTGCGGAATCGGGCAGACCAAAAAAAATCATAGAGCATTACATTACATATCTGTTTGGGGTCGATTGCGCTGCTTTTGTTTTATGATTTTAAAACAATTGCAATATTGGCCAAAACAAATGAAAACGCCAAAATATATAAACATTGCCTTTTAGAAACAAAATAATACTTATACTCTACTATTGTAAATTGTCCCCTAACGTATTTTTACGGAAATCGGAAGAGAAAAAAATCAGATAAATTCATTCGAATTTTAAAAATAAATTTTTGCCTAGGTAATGTAGCAAAAATGTAAAATTTTGTGGAATTTCGTAGCAGAAATAGGTAAGGTGGCAGTACTTCTCTGGACGAACCCTTTCACAAGGAGCCTAGTGCTTCTATTACATTCTGTATATATATTTAGAGGTAATTTAGAGCACGCTATATTTTATTATGCTGTAAAGTTTGAATACAATAACTCACCGTGACACATTCTGTGCATCCAATAGTAACAGAAGTCTACGCCAATGGCCGTAACGTACCACGTTAATACACTATCCCAGGGTAACTCGATTAATCTGTGGTGTTGGTAAATCCAAGTGTAAAGATAGTATTCAGCTCCTCTCCAGAGTAACCTGTGAAGTACACAGGAATTTAATATAATTCAGGCAGTGTAAAGGCTGATTTTTTTTACACATTTTTGGAAAAAAACATTTAATTAATACAATTATAGTTAAACTTAAATAAGCGTGATCAAATGCCATTTACGAATTTCCACCTTTGGTAAACAACATAAAGTGCTTAACGAAGTCAAAGTAAAAAAAAATATATACAACTACAAAAAACTACTGAGTAATAAAACAAATAATAACAACTAAAATTAAAAAACAAATATACTAAGTTAGGGTATCATTGCCAGCTTATAGGATGGAAAAAAATAGACTAAGATCGCCAGTTACGAGATGTTTAAAAGTGACGTTTGGTAATTTCTCGCCTGACTGTGTCTGTTATATTTATTATAAATAAATAAATAAAATAAAAATAAAAATCTTTTATTTTCAGCCACCATAGGTCCATAGTTTGTTAGTAAGCAACCTTATACTATATTAGTAACAAATGAGTGTATGGTGAATTTATGGTGTATTGTATATGAAGTGTACATAAAAATTTTTAAAATTACACAGAACAAATCAAAGTCACAGTGACTTTGAGATGTATTATTAAAAAGTTTTTTTATAATATCAAGTGACGAGGCGAACAAGTCGTGCGCCTGATGGTAAGCTACACGCCTGTCCATGATAGTTGCAGTGCCACTCAGAGCTTGTAATCGCAGAGGTCCGAGGGGCAATGCCACTGTGCCCTCACCACAAGTTGGCAAGTCTCATGTGCCTGTAATTTCATCAGTACCCATACTCTTCATTACCGCTTGGCAGCAGAAGTAGGGAATGGGGCAATACTTCCCTAGACGAACTCATTCACAAAGAGCTCTACTGCTACTAAAGAGTAAGCAGTAGTCGCAATGTATGTTATATCATCATAATATAATATTATGTGTGTTACATGAAAAAAGAACTACACATTTAATATGAAAAAAATAGAAAGATCCGCTTATAATTTGTGACCTGTAAAAAGTCCCAAAACGTTGGCTTTTTCAAAAACAAATGACTAAATGAATAACTATTCGTAACAGTTTTATGTGGTATTATACTTATAGGAAATTTCCTATATCTATGATTATACTGAAGTGTTAGCAAAATAAAAATAACGAATAAGATAGGTACGTTAGGTGGAAGAAAAGAAACAAAGGAAGCACCTTCGTGACAAATAACAGATTGAAAAACATCTATTGTGGATAAAATATTAGTTTTACAAGTAAAATACGATATGGTTTTTGGTGATTTACTGTCACATGAAGGCGACACATAGAAGTAGGTAATTCGATGAGGTCTACATTACGTCACGTACATAAATATGTTGGCCTTCGAAAATAAATAAACGCCTTCGGCGCATATCCTATAATGTCCAATCAACAGTAGCCCAGAGACCCAGGCTCTGTGACGAAAGTAAACCCTTGTCAATTGATTGACGAGGGTGCTTCTCAGAACTTTCACCAGTGGTTACTATGAACACTATTATTAAATTTGAGACAGGAAATGCTTCTATTTTAATATATAATTTAAATTGTTGAAATACGTGCCATAACAAGCATATTATGAGTCTTCCTACATTTAGTTCCGTCGCTCACCGTTGGATGGCGTTAGTAATATTTTGAAACACCCAAGCAGTTTGCTAATTATTACATTAGTATAGATGAAATCATGTATTTAGTATGTGTCAACGACATATAGTTTTTGGTTTTTTTGTTAGTTTTTACTTTTGTTAATTCACAATTGTTTTAATGTTCCAATTTGCTTTCAATATATTTTTATCTAAAATTTAATTTTATTTATTTATTTACAGTATGTGCTTTCTATTACTAGTAGAGCTTATATTGCAATAAACGACACTCAAGCCCTGAAGGCGCTTCGCTACTAAATACGGTGCTTATAAGCTTATGAGACATTAAATTTGATAAAACACTCTTAACACAATGTATTAAGAGTGTCTTTTGCATTGCAAGCATCGGATTAAGACATACTTAAGTTTAGTGCATGTGAAGTGTTGGTTTCCCTGCCTAGCTAATATAAATTTTTTTAGCCACCTGATCTATTTCTAAGTCAAGCAGTATTGTATACATTACTGCGTTCCGGGTAAGCCTTGGTTCACACGCCATTGTCTTGTAATATTTTTTAACGTATTCGATTATAAACGGATAGACAGCGAGGTGTTCACATGATATATATTTTTAAGCGTTTATTAAAAGACGCATAGCCTCAGTATTCACACAGCAATCGCCCTGAGAACACGCCTGTGATTTAAAGCACTCGATGGTACGGTAACTGTTATTGACAGGCGTGTCACTTATCGCCAGGCGGCCATACAATGTATATTCCTTTTATATTAGTATAAACGTCAAACGTGACTTTTTATGGTAAAAAATGTGATTATTGATGTCAGTTGTGCCTTATGAGCTTACTGTCTATCCAATTGAGATAGATTTCTACAAAAATAAGGTAGATTGACTTTTTTCCTGATCTCAAATATATATATATATATATATATATTATATATATTATAGTATATATATATATATATATATATATAATATATATATATATATTATATACATGTAAATTATGTAGAAACATAAGCATATAACTCAATTTCGATAAAAGCTATTTGTTATGCAAGGCTGCAAAGTCGTGAGTGGTTCAAAAATAGATTCCTGAGCGTAGCGAGCGTTTCAAGGTACGAGATGCAGAACAACTTTGCTGCCGAGCGAAACACATAACTTTTCATCTCCGAAGAAAGTGGTAAATGAAAAAAAAGAGTTATACTATAACAAATATCTTTAGTTCTTCGACGAATTAGAATAATTTAATAAACAATATTAGTTACCGTTGTCAATTTAATGCTAACAATAATAGGAATAACATATATCAACGGATTCATTAAATAATGTATGAGAAATCGCGTACTTGAACGTGTCATTATCTTTTTTTTCATCGAAAGAAAAGTTAGGTGCGTCATAGTCCATCATCAACCTTTTCCACTCTAGCGTGGAAAAAGCACATATTTCTAATATAAGAAAGTCTTTCCTAACGTTAACCGTTACGCGTGCAAAATATTAGTGGCACAACTGTTTGCACTTTGACTGCTGAATGTACCTGGTTCGCCTCTCGGTAGGTACAGCGAATTACCTATTTTAAGATAAGGGTTAGTATGATCCGCTAATACATTATTACTTTTGTTACATTGCTATTATTTCAAATAAAGTGATTAAAGAATAGAAAAAAAAATCATACCTGCCACATTCCTGGAAGATTCCAAGTGATATGCTAGTGATGCCATCATTCAGTCTAATTCCTTTTTTACCTTCTAGTCTTAAGACTATGTGTTCTAGGATCATAAATATAAAGAAGTAAGGCCATGACTGAAACAAAAGAAAGAAAATGTTAAGATAAAAAATATATCTTTAATTATTCTTACTTATTTTAAATTTGTTGTTATCATATAGTATTTACGTCTTAATTATATTAAAGAATTTAATATAAGAAGCTTATTGCTTTAAACGAACACGTTTGTTAAAGAAAAGTTGAAAATAATTCGTTGAAATGAATTTATGAGAACTATTTTTCTTTTATCATCATTCATAACGTTAGATAGAGGTGAAAACATCGTTACTAGTTCCATCGTTTCGGTGTCAAAGCTAGTTTTTAACGGTCTTCAAAAAAAAAGAAGGAGGTTCTTAATCCAACTGTATTTTTTTTGTACATATGTTACGTGATTATTCCGGTATTTGTGAACCGATTTTGACGATTCTTTTTTTGTTGGAAAGAGGGACTCCAGTATTGGTCCTGTTTAAATTTTAAGAAAATTTTCTATTTATAGGGTGTCAAACTAGGCGATGAAATCGGTTTCGCGTAGTTTCCGGTAACCGATTTCAATAAAACTTGGCATACATGTAATTCCACGAACTTTTAACGTCTGTTTTTTTTTACAAAAAAGTTGTAATTTATTATTTAATAAAATAGATACTATCACTTGTCAACTTAAAAACAGTCTTGTTTGCAAGCTGAAATTTGAAATTGTAGCTAGCCTGATCACTTGTTCTGTTGACCCTTTTTTTTGGAAAAATCTTTTCTTAATATTAAAATCGAACAAGCAAGCTGCGGGTTGCTCCTAATGTCTGCCGTTACCTGCACACAAATATTACCCTTAGGTGGTAAGGCGTCAACGTTGCAATGAAATGAATACACGCATTTGAAGTCAAGTTCCGTAATTTCGGTATCCATCGGTTTTTATGTACATATAATGTTACAGGCGACGACTGTACGTATTAGCTAATAATTACATCGCAATCTTCGACAAAATGTAGGAGGACACAATACCTTGTTGTCAAGGTAGTAAGCAGCATTTCTAAATATTAATAGAGTGGAGAGACCATGTACCTCTATCTGCTACTCTCCTGACAAACTTCCATTTGAAAAGACATGCCCATTTATTCGTGGTATTTTTAACCCGGCCTTTTTAACGACTCCCAATCAGACCGAGATATCTCTACGCTCTATAAATTTATGCCGTCAATTTACCAACATTGTTTCTTTCTACATGTGATGTTAGTCTTGGGCCAAATTTGAGCAAAACACAGAAGTATCCTCTCTATACTGGTCACTACGTAATCTTTCATTAATAGAGTTATATTAAACTCAAGTTAATATTATTTATACATTTACCATGTCGCTGGCCGTACATTTGTGTTCAAAGTATCAAATTCGATTTTGTGTAATATTAAATTACATATATTTCAAAGTCAATTGATCCAATCAAGTCATGCATTAAAGCCTCAACCTAAATACTTGTAATTTTAGTAAACCAATGTAACTTAATACCCGTTATGTCTGTATTTTTCAGACACAGCAACACAATTACTCATCCATTCATTCAATTACGTTCCATAAGGTGAAATAGATATTTTGACGTAAAATGGGTTTTGCGATGTAAGAAATATGTATTTTTTTTTAAATAAGCGCGTATTTGACCTCCATCTCATTTGATGGAAAGTGACTATGAGGTCGACGATGAAGCATGCACACCTAAGTAATGTATTCAACTTGTTTTTTAATTTGATTGATAATGTAAACGGAAGATACCGGTAGTGAACTTCGCTCGATAAAAAAAAAAAAAAAAATTCCGGAAAATTTTAATTTTTTTACTACTTTCATTTACGGAAAAATCATTTTCATTCGATTGTAAAGTTCTTTAAATTTCAATTACAAAATCCTGTTCCCCTTCATTCCTTTTCTCCGATTTCAAGGTTCTAATTTGACTGTATTTTTTTGTATGTTACGCGATAACTCCGACAGTTTTGAACCGATGATTTTATTATCGGAAAGGAGATATCTCAGTAGTGGTCCAATTCAAATTTAAAGAAAATATTCCACCTCTCAGGGTGGCAAATTAGATAATGAAACCGATTCATTGGATTTCACCCACTTTCTGCTAACCGAGTCCAATAAAATTTGGCAAATAGGTGTAATTTCAAACCTTTCAAGGTCGGTTCTTTTTAAATTTATAAAAGTTATAATTACATACAACCCTGTACTAACACGTTAGTTATTCAAAATTATTACCAACAATCTCAATAAGTGTTCAATTACGTATATAGAAGTCCATAGATTATTATGTAATCATCAGGTGCTCTGTGCTGTTTTGTCCTTACTCAATTGGTAATTCGATCCTGAGATGTGTCAACAATATTATGATCTCGAATTTAAGTCGAAGTACACTCGATCATATTTCATCCGACCACTGACCTCGCTATGAATTAGGCTTCCTGCAAACGTGTCGATCGATTTTTCATATTCCAATTTGAATAATATGATGATTGATTACAAAGATAGTAATGCATACTATATTTTACTACTTTATGTGCTTAGACACACGAGCCACATTTCACTATACAACAATATAAGAGAGTAATTTTGCAATGGCGATGAGGTCGGAATGTAGGTCGTGTGAGCTAGACGAGATTGAAGGGTGTAACCAGGCGATAGTATTTTTTTTAAGTAAATGGGAAGACTTGCTTTTAACTACTGCCTAGCCCTGGATCAAAGATAAGGTCTGCGATGGAACGAGGTCGCCCAACTGTATGCCTTCTCGATAAAGCTATTATCCACATTTAGCTCTCAAATTCGAGTGTTAGACCGGTATTTTAAAATTTTATCACAATAGCTAACATCACGAGCACCGTGACGTTACATTTTTATGTTGTCGCGGGCACCGCGACCAATGACAGCAAAAGATTAACGTGCCAAACTTAGCTGCAAGGTTACAGCTGATTTTAAAACATTTTGACAGTTCTTAACAGTAATTTTATCAACGTAAAAATTGAGCGCGATAAACGAGATGAAAAGAAATAATAAAAACAAACAAATTGATATATATACATTATTGGAAAGAGGTGAGGAGAACATTTTTAATACAGTTCGAGAGTTATTAGAAATAAAAAGTAACGTAATAAAATAAAAACGTAAATAATAACTAATATAATGCAAAAACGGAAACCACAAAATCTCGACATTTTTTGTTTCATCGTTTTCGCGGCGATGATTAAACGACAAAGATAGGTATATATGCAATTTCATATCGTTGTCCTTGTTCTTCAAAATGTATAACAGTAGTTCATTACCAAATAAGCAAACTTAGTTTTATCAACTGAAACAAATATTGTCACAGGGAGGTTTATCACACTTATACTATCCTAATAAAGATAGAATACAGCCATTGTTGATCGTTCTAACCCTATTACTTTACATAGTTATTTATGTAGTCACTATTATATTTATTACACATATAAAAAACAAAGATTAATTTTTTTTTATTGTATAATAAAGCCAACATGATGCATACATAACAATAGCAAAAGCAAAACGGTTACAAAGTTTAAAGGTAGATATAGACCATATTTATTGGCTAACACGGCAAGCTATCAGATTCAAGAATATATGAAAATTAATCATTAAATTACTCTTTATAATTTATAATTACAATTTTCTTTACAGTTAAAAAAGAAAAAGCAAAAACAATATAATCTCTACGTTCGAATAAGATTTTAAAATTTTAAATAAATGGCGTGGAACAAAACAGATTAGTCAGAGTTTTTAATAAAATATTTTTTAATTTTTTTTAAAGGTAGCTAGCGAATCATTAAACAGCTGTTCTATGCCTCAAACAGACTGTCCAGTACTATACGGCCAGAATGACGCCAGTATACGCATGCTTTTTGGCATTCGATTTAGTGTCATATAAATAATACCTTGTGGCGAAAACTGCATTGTGATACCAAAGTGTCCAAAGAAGTTGTGTCTATGCTGGGATATTGGTACAGCAATCAGAAGAATATTGTCAAGTGGGCAGGTACGCACTCGGAAGTATACAGGTTGGAATGTGGGGTGAGACAGGGAGGGTTGAGTTCACCGCGCCTTTTCAATCTGTATATGAACCGTCTCATCGGAGTGCTCAGTGGCACTGGAATCGGTTGCCATATCGATGGAGTCTGTATAAATAATATTAGCTATGCTGATGACATGGTGCTACTGAGCCCTTCGATTAGTGCCCTCCGTAGATTGTTGCGTATATGTGAGTTGTATGCAGAGACCCATGGACTTAGGTACAATTCTAAAATGAGCGTGCTTATGATTTTCAAGCCAGGCACTAAATCGTATTCTGTTGTGCCTCCGGTTAAACTTGCTGATATTCCCTTACAAAAAGTGGAACGGTTTAAACATTGGGTCACTGATGACAAATGATAATTTAGATATAGAACGCGAGCGCAGGGCGCTGTCTGTACGGTGTAATATGTTGGCACGGAGTTTTTCACGTAGTAGCGACCAGATTAAGGTTTTGCTTTTCAAAGCATATTGCCAGTCCTTCTACACGTGTAGCCTGTGGGTCAACTTTACGCAGCTTGCATACGGCGCACTGCGCGTCCAATATAATAATGCTTTTAGGGTGCTATTTAAGTTGTCGCGTTATAGTAGTGCCTCCACTATGTTTGCTGAGCCTCGTACAGATTGTTTTTATTCAGTCATACGAAAGCGTTGTGCCTCACTCCTGACTCGGCTACGAGGCAGCACGGATGGTATCCTTAGCACCATTGCCGCTAGATGGGACTCTCCGATGGTGGGGCGCTGGATGCAGCTGCACACGGCACCAAGCCGGTAGCTGCGCCTCGAGCCTTTCTACAGGGGAATCGCATTAATAAATAAATATTAAAACATACTTTTCCAGTTGTTACTAACACTATATAGAGCTTTTAAACCTAAATTTATCGTAGAAAATCTGTGTTTAGTCATAAGGGACTTGCCAACTTATGTCTCAGCGTGACGGGCGCAGTGGCAGTGCCCCTCAGATCTTTGCAATTTAAAGCTC